CAATTTAGTTTTTAAGTGGATTTTTATGCCATGCCTACACTCAGTAGAGGGGGGTTATGTTTTCCTGTCTGTGTGTCTGTCCATTAGTTTGTCTGTTGTCTTGTATCAGGATAAAGTTTTGGTTCAAGGTACTTTGTTGTCATGTCAGCATAGAACTTCAATGATAGGTGGTACTAGTGTATGCAGGACATGTTATCTTATGGTATATATGTTCCTGGATAGAGTCAGCAATATCTTCCAATCAGATAGTAAGAAGCATTCAGCCTGCAGACTGTCCATTGTTCAACTCTTAATAACATCTCCTCGGAGACGTTAATTATCATCAATCCCAATACTGGTAAATGTAGTAAGTATTCAAGGCTTTTACAAATGAAAATATTTTCAAAAAACAATTGTATTTATATTGGATTTGTATGCGAAAACAACATTTAAGAAGCAGTTTTGCATTTTAATGTATTGAATAATTGAAATTAACACTTTTTGATAAATTGACCCTTCAAACAAAAATCTTGGCAGTAAAAAGTGTTGTGTCATTAACAAAATTATGTTACATCAATTATATATTCATATTTCATACAGTGCTTGTGTGTACATACCCAGTTTGTGTGTGAACATTATAAATCATGTTTATTGTCTCAATGTATGCTTTAAAGACATTGTTGAAGGTCGTACAGTGACCTATAGTTGCTTAATTCTACATCATTTGGTTTTTAGTGGAGAGTTGTCTCATTTTATGTCACATTGAATGCATATTCAGTGCATATGTGTACGTATCTGAGAGTATGCATGTACAGTACATATGTATACATATCTTAGTGTATGCATGTACAATACATATGTGTACATATCTGAATATGCATGTACATAGATATAAGAAGATGTGGTATGAGTGCCAATGAGACAACTCTCCATCCAAGTCAAAATTTTAAAAAGTAAACCATTATAGGTCAAAGTACGGTCTTCAACACGGAGCCTTGGCTCACACCGAACAGCAAGCTATAAAGGGCCCCAAAAATTACTTGTGTAAAACCATTCAAACAAGAAAACCAACGGTCTAATCTATATAAAAAACGAGAAACGAGAAACACTTATGAACCACAACAACAAACGACAACTACTGAACATCAGATTCCTGACTTAGGACAGGTGCAAACAAATGCAGTGGGTATAAACGTTTTAATGTACAGTACGCATGTGTTCATATCTGAGTGTATACATGTACAGTATATATGTTTACATATCTGATTGTATACATGTACAGTATATATGTGTACATATCTGAGTGTGCATGTACAGTACATATGTGTACTGTACATGCACACTAAAATTAAAAATTAAAATTAAAAATTAAACTCCAAATTATACACAAGAAACTAAAATTAAAAATGATACAAGACTAACAAATGTATTGAATAATTGAAATTAACACTTTTTGATAAATTGACTCTTCAAACAAAAATCTTGGCAGTAAAAAGTGTTGTGTCATTAACAAAATTATGTTACATCAATTATATATTCATATTGCATACAGTGTTTGTGTGTACATACCCAGTTTGTGTGTGAACATTAAAAATCATGTTTATTTTCTCAATGTATGCTTTAAAGACATTGTTGAAGGTCGTACAATGACCTATAGTTGCTTAAGTCTACATCATTTGGTTTTTAGTGGAGAGTTGTCTCATTTTATGTCACATTGAATGCATATTCAGTGCATATGTGTACATATCTGAGAGTATGCATGTACAGTACATATGTATACATATCTTAGTGTATGCATGTACAATACATATGTGTACATATCTGAATATGCATGTACATAGATATAAGAAGATGTGGTATGAGTGCCAATGAGACAACTCTCCATCAAAGTCAAAATTTAAAAAAGTAAACCATTATAGGTCAAAGTATGGTCTTCAACACGGAGCCTTGGCTCACACCGAACAGTAAGCTATAAAGGGCCCCAAAAATTACTTGTGTAAAACCATTCAAACGGGAAAACCAACGGTCTAATCTATATAAAAAACGAGAAACGAGAAACACTTATGAACCACAACAACAAACGACAACTACTGAACATCAGATTCCTGATTTAGGACAGGTGCAAACAAATGCAGCGGGTATAAACATTTTAATGTACAGTACGCATGTGTTCATATCTGAGTGTATACATGTACAGTATATATGTTTACATATCATTTTTAATTTTAGTTTCTTGTGTATAATTTGGAGTTTAGTATGGCATCCATTATCACTGAACTAGTATACATATTTGTTTAGGGGCCAGCTGAAGGACGCCTCTGGGTGGGGGAGTTTCTCGCTGCATTGAAGACCCATTGGTGGCCTCCGGCTGTTGTCTGATCTATGGTCAGTTGTTGTTTCTTTGACACATTCCCCATTTCCATTCTCAATTTTAATTTTATATCTGAGTGTAAGCATGTTCAGTACTTGTGTACTTATCTGAGTGTATGCATGTACAGTACATATATGTGTACATATCTGAGTGTAAGAATATTCGGTACATGTGTACATATAGGGAGAAGGTTTGGTACCATTAAAACGTTTAATCCCGCTGCAAATGTTTGCACCTGTCCTAAGTCAGGAATCTGATGTACAGTATTTGTCGTCTGTTTATGTAGTTCATACCTGTTTCTAGTTCTCGTTTTTATATAGATTAGACCGTTGGTTTTCCCGCTTTAATGGTTTTACACTAGTAATTTTTGGGGCCCTTTATAGCTTGCTGTTCGGTGTGAGCCAGTGCTCCGTGTTGAAGGCCGTACCTTGACCTATAATGGTTTACTTTTATAAATTGTTACTTGGATGGAGAGTTGTCTCATTGGCACTGATACTACATCTTCCTATATCTATATATCTACAGTACATATGTGTACTTATCTGACTGTAAGCATATATATGTTCCATACATGTGTACATATCTGAGTGCATGCATGTTTTTCTTCACCACATAAGAACAATAGCTGAAATAAGTATTTACTTGTGTGTCTATCATGTCAAGTTATGAAGATGACATTTGTAAACTGTTCATAAATCAAGAACCTTAACTTAAGATAATGTTGTCGTCTTACTGTCTTTATTCAACATGAAAAATTTAAAAGTGTCTGATGTATTGAATATATATAATTCACATGTACCTTTCTTTTTAGCTCACCTGGCCTGAAGGGTCAAGTGAGCTTTTCTCAACACTTGGCGTCCGTCATTCGTTGTCCGTCGTCTTTAGCTTTTTAAAAAAATCTTCTCCTCTGAAACCATTGGGCCAAATTTAACCAAACTTGGCCACAATCATCATTAGGGTATCTAGTTTAAAAAATGTGTCTGATGACCCCGCCAACCAACCGAGATGGCCGCCATGGCTAAAAATAGAACATAGGGGTAAAATGTAGATTTTGGCTTATATCTCTGAAACCAAAGCATTTAGAGTAAATCTGACATAGGGTAAAACTGATTATCAGGTCAAGATCTATCTGCCCTGAAATTTTCAGACAAATCTGACTACCTGTTGTTGGGTTGCTGCCCCTGAATTGGTAATTTTAAGGAAATTTTGCAGTTTTTATACGACCGCAAACAAATTTTGTGGTCGTATATTGGTATGACGTTGGCGTCGTCCTTGTCCGGCATCGTCGTCGTCGTCGTCCTTAGACACATTGGTTTTTGCACTCTAACTTTAGTTTAAATGAATGGATCTCTATGAAATTTTACCATAAGGTTCAATACCACAAAAGGAAGGTAGGGATTGATTTTGGGGGTTATGGTACCAACAGTTAAGAAATTAGGGGCCAAAAAGGGGCCAAAAATATGCATTTTTATACGACCGCCAAAAAATTTTTGTGGTCGTATATTGGTATGGCGTTGTCGTCGTCGTCGTTGTTGTCGTCATCGTTGTCGTCGTCCGAAGACACATTAGTTTTCGCACTCTAACTTTAGTTTAAGTGAATGGATCTCAATGAAATTTTACCATAAGGTTCAATACCACAAAAGGAAGGTGGAGATTGATTTTAGGGGTTATGGTACCCACAGTTAAGGAATTAGGGGTCAAAAAGGGGCCAAAAATAAGCATTTTTGTAACTTCCAGACATAACTTGTGTGTAAGTGTATGGATCTCTCTGACATTGTACCACAAGGTTCCATATCACAAAGGGAATGCTGGGATTGATTTTGGGGGTAATTGCCTCCAAATTTTAGGAATTAGGGGCCAAAAAGGGGCAAAAAACAAGCATTTTTCTAGTTTCCAGACAATAACTTGTGTGTAAGTGTATGGATCTCTCTGACATTGTATCACAAGGTTCCATATCACAAAGGGAATGCTTGGATTGAGTTTGGGGGTAATTGCCTCCAAATTTTAGGAATTAGAGGCCAAAAAGGGGCAAAAAACAAGCATTTTTCTAGTTTCATGACAATAACTTGTGTGTAAGTGTATGGATCTTTATGAAATTGTACTACAAGGTTCCATATCACAAAGGGAAAGCTGGTATTGAGTTTGGGGGTAATTGCCCAAAACATTTAGGAAAAAGGGGCAAAAAATAAGCATTTTTCTAGTTTCCAGACAATAACTTGTGTTCAAATGTATGGATCTCTCTGAAATTGTACTGCAAGGTACCATTCCACAAAGGGAAGGCTGGGATTGATTTTGGGGGTAATTCCCTCAAAATTTTAGTAATTAGGGGCCATAAAAGGGCAAAAAAACAAGCATTTTTCTAGTTTCAGGACAATAACTTGTGTGTAAGTGTATGGATCTTTATGAAATTGTACTGCAAGGTTCCATATCACAAAGGGACAGCTGGGTTTGAGTTTGGGGGTATTTGCCCTAAACGTTTAGGAATTTGGGGCCAAAAAGGGGCCAAAAAAACAAGCATTTTTCTAGTTTCCAGACAATAACTTGTGTTCAAGTGTATGGATCTCTCTGAAAATGTACTGCAAGGTACCATACCACAAAGGGAAGCTGGGATTGAGTTTGGGGGTGATGAATCATAAGGGGGTTCAAAAAATTGGGGGGGGTATTTTTTTTTCCTTTTTTTTCTATAAAATTTTCCATTTTAAATTGGTTATTTCTGATTTATATATAAAAGCAAATAATAATGATATGGTTTGAATAGGTAAATTAAGAATTTTTAAGTTCTTAGACCACTTTATTTCTGTGTGAGAAACCTATGCTGTGTCAAATATTTAATTACAATCCAAATTCAGTGCTGTTTCAAGCTTGAATGTTGTGTCCATACTTGCCCCAACTGTTCAGGGTTCGACCTCTGCGGTCGTATCAAGCTGCGCCCCAGCGGAGCATTTTATTGTAACTTCCAGACATAACTTGTGTATTAGTGTATAGATCTCTCTGACATTGTACCACAAGGTTCCATCTCTCAAAGGGAATGCTTGGATTGATTTTGGGGGTAATTGCTGCAAAATTTTAGGAATTAGGGGCTAAAAAAGGGGCAAAAAACAAGCATTTTTCTAGTTTCATGACAATAATTTGTGTGTAAGTCTATGGATCTTTTTTAAATTGTACTACAAGGTTCCATATTGCAAAGGGAAAGCTGGAATTGAGTTTGGATGTAATTGCCCTAAACGTTTAGGAATTAGAGGCCAAAAAGGGGCCAAAAATAAGCATTTTTCTGGTTTCCAGACAATAACTTGTGTTCAATTGTATGGATCTCTCTGAAATTGTACTGCAAGGTTCCATATCACTTAGGGAATGTTTGGATTGATTTTGGGGGTAATTGCCTCAAAATTTTAGGAATTAAGGGCCAAAAAAGGGGCAAAAAACAAGCATTTTCTAGTTTCATGACAATAACTTGTGTGTAAGTCTATGGATCTTTCTGAAATTGTACTACAAGGTTCCATATCACAAAGGGAAAGCTGGAATTGAGTTTGGGGGTAATTGCCCAAAATGTTTAAGAATAAGGGGCCAAAAAGGGGCCAAAAATAAGCATTTTTCTAGTTTCCAGACAATAACTTGTGTGTAAGTGAATGGATCTTTATGAAATTGTACTACATTGTACAAGGTTCCATATCACAAAGGGAAAGCTGGATTTGAGTTTGGGGGTAATTGTCCTAAATGTTTAGGAATATGGGTCCAAAAAACAAGCATTTTTCTAGTTTCCAGACAATAGCTTGTGTTCAGGTGTATGGATCTCTATGAAATTGTACTGCAAGGTACCATACCACAAAGGGAAGGCTGGGATTGAGTTTGGGGATGATGAATCATAAGGGGGTTCAAAAAATTTGGGGGAGGGGGGGATTTTTTTTTCCTTTTATTTTCTTTAAAATTTTCCATTTTAAATTGGTTATTTCTGATTTATATATAAAAGCAAATAATAATGATATGGTTTAAATAGGTAAATTAAAAATTTTTAAGTTCTTAGACCACATTCATTCTGTGTCAGAAACCTATGCTGTGTCAAATATTTAATCACAATCCAAAGTCAGTGCTGTATCAAGCTTGAATATTGTGTCCATTCTTGCCCCAACTGTTCAGGGTTTGACCTCTGCGGTCGTATCAAGCTGCGCACAGCGGAGTATTTTATTGGTTATTATCTTGAATATTATTATAGATAGAGATAAACTGTAAACATCAATAATGTTCAGCAAAGTAAGATCTACAAATAAGTCGTCATGACCAGAATTGTCAGTCTACCCCTTTAGGAGTTATTGCCCTTTATAGTCAATTTTAACAATTTTTTCGTAAATTTTTGTAATCTTCTTCAAAATCTTGTTCTCTGAAACTTTCTACTGAGACAAATTTAGGTATCTAGTTTAAAAAAATTATCTGATGACCCAGCCTTCCAACCATCATGGCCGACTTGGTTAAAAATAGAACATAGGGGTAAAATGCAGTTTTTGGTTTATATCTCTGAAACTAAATCATTTAGAGCAAATCTGACAGGTGGCAAAAATGTTCATCAGATTTAGATTTATCTGCCTTGAAATTTTCAGACGAATCCGACTACCCATTGTTGGGTTGCTGTCCCTGAGTTAGTAATTTTACAGAAATTTTGCAGTTTTTATGCCCCCGCCGTAGCGGAGGGGGCATTAAGTTTTACCCTTGTCCTTCTGTATGTACGTACGTACGTCCCAAAATTGGTTTCCATTCTCTAACTTTAGTTTGCCTCAACCAAATGTTATGAAACTTATACACAATGCTTATTACCACAAAACACAGATCAAGATTGAAATTTGGTAGCGTCACTTTTACCGTTCTAGAGTTATGCCCCTTTACAAATGGAAAACTTGCTGAATTTTTCATTTCCGTTCTCTAATTTTAGTTAGCCTCAACCAAATGTTATGAAACTTATACAAGATGCTTATTACCACAAAACACAGATCAAGTTTGAATTTTGGTGGCGTCACTTTAACCATTCTAGAGTTATGCCCTTTAGAAATGGAAAAATTGGAAAATTTTTATTTTCTTCTAAATATCTAGTAATTTTTAAAATTGGAGATATCTTCCTTTGTCCATGATTATAGTTGAATCAACAACAATCAATGCTTTATACAATGCAATGTTTAATTTTGACTTCCACTGATAAAACACAGATCAAGTTGAATTTAGGTAGTGTCACTTTAATCATTATTGAGTTATGCCCCTTTATAATTCGAAAGATTGCAAAATTTTTAGTTTCCATTCTGTAACTTAAGTTTGCCGCCTCAACCAAATGTTATGAAACTTATACACAATGCTTATTACTACATAATACAGATTAAGTACGAAATTTGGTAGCAACACTTTTACCATTCTTGAGTTATGTCCCTTTATAAACATAAAAAAATTTTCGTTTCCGTTCTCTAACTTTAGTTTGTCTCAACCAAATGTTATAAAACTTATACACAACTGTTCTAGAGTTATGCGTGTTTACAAATAGAAAAATTGCTGAATTTTTATACGCCCGTTTACGGGACGTATTATGGTATACCGTTGTCCGTCTGTCCGTCTGTCCGTCCGTCTGTCCGTCCGTCGTCAACATGTCGGACATTAACTCAAAAACGCTTTAACCAATTTGCATAAAACTTTGGTGAATTGTTTATATCTATTGACGTGAGCTCCCTTTCATTTTTTATAAATTTTAGATTTTATGTTTCCGAGTTATGGGGTTTTATTCATTAAAAAAAGGGGGATTTTCCAGTTTTCGGACAATAACTCAAGAATGCTTTCACCAACTTGAAAGAAATTCTGGTGAATTGTTTATATCTATTGACATGAGCTCCTTTTCGATTTTTATATATTTTAGATTTTACGTTTCCGAGTTACAGGGATTTATTCATAAAAAAAGGGGGATTTTCCAGTATTCGGACAAAAAATCAAAAATGCTTTCAGCAGTTTTTTATGAAACTTTGGTGAATTGTTTATATCTATTGATGTAAGCTCCATTTAGAATTTTATAAGTTTTGCGTTTTACATTTCTGAGTTATGGGGTTTTATTCATTAAAAAAGGGGGGATTTTCCAGTTTTCGGACAATAACTCAAAAATGCTGTCAGCAATTCACATGAAACTTTGGTGAATTATTTATATTTATTGATGTAAGCTCCCTTTACATTTTCATAAATTTCTAATATGACATTGAGAATTAATTGAACTTTAATTGTTTATAGTCTGACAACAGATTTACTAAGTATTGCGCAACAGAACAGTGTATTGCACAATTTAACAGCAAGAAATCTTTAATTGAATATAATTATATATATATTCATATAACCAATTTCAAGTTCTTTGACTACATTTATTCAGAAACCTATAATATGTCAAATATTTAATACAATCCAAATTCAGACCTGTATCAAGCTTGAATATTGTGTCCATTTTTGCCCCAACTGTTCAGGGTTGGACCTCTGCGAGCGTATCCAGCTGCGCTCAGCGAAGCAGTTTATTAGTTTCTGTTCTCTTCTTAAGTTTGCCTCAACCAAATGTTATGAGACTTACACACAATGCTTATTACCACAAAACTCAGATCAAGTTCAAATTTGGGTAGCGTCACTTTTACCGTTCTTTAGTTATGTCCCTTTATAACTATATGATATGCAAGCGTGGGCATCATCTGTGTCCACATGTGGACACTATTCACATTTTTTGTTATTATCTTAGATATCATTATAATATCTAATATCTATTACTATTAATTATGATTTTAACCTTATTTTACATGATTTCCAAAGCATCAGTAAATACAGGTGAGCGACACAGGCTCTTGAGAGCCTCTAGTTATAATATTAACAATACAACAATTATCTAGTGAAATGAATAGATTCCATTGAAATATTCTGAGTCTCATATTAGGACTTTTTATGTATGACCATCATTAGATGTATCAAAGCATATGAATGAATATTAATGATTCTCTTTCATGCAAAGTACTAAAGTAATAACTGAATACAGTCATTTAACTGTGAAATTTATCTGAATGTGAATAATGTTATTTTGTCATTATATTTATGTAAGTGTTGTATTGTATAAAGGGCTTACATAGGCTTAGCCTATTGCCAAATCCAATTTATTTTATTTATTTCATTTCAAATAAAATATTGTTTATACAAAAATAATCTGAGTAACGGATGCAGGAAAAAATGCCTCATTAGTGAATGGATACAAAAGGAATTATTTTATATCCTCACCTGAAAGTGTTGATGTCAAAACATACAATGGTAACCTTGAGAGATTATTTGTCTCATAGATGGTTACTCTATATTCAATTAAGCTGTCCAATATATTGATATCGATTTATCATTGGCTTCCTTCACCAGACTTCACTTATCAAGTCCACAGATATTTGTGGTGAAATCATATATTGTCGTGATTGTAATTAGAATTGGTTTTGTCTGTAAAATTACTTTGGGACCAATATAAACCTAGAAGATTGTTACTTTTAAAGATTGAAAGATTATCTTGGGTATACATCAAGAGACAGCAACCTATTGACACAAAATGCCATTCGAAGGTTGACATTTAGTGGAGAAATGTATTTAGAGACAATATTTCATGCACTAAATAGCCTGTAGTGGACAACTTCTAAATTTGCTGTATCTTCTCCCCCTCCCCCCTTTTTTGCTATCAATGTCTTCTTCCTATTCTTCCTACAATTTTAATCAAAATTAGTAGGATAAATGTCTGCTATGCATATATTAGTAACCCCCTTCAGCAAAGAAATAAATATCTTTTTACTGCAAAGTGATATAGATAAAAAAATGCTCTACTTTTTCTCAAGCTACAATATCTGCAGGTAAATGGAAAATATTGATTAAATGAAATGCGAAAAATAGTAATATTGGACCTATAACCAATTAGGAATATAATAGATTCTTTTTTAATCAATCAATAAACATCATATTCATATAATATAATTACATGAAGGTAAAAACAACATTTCTTCCTTCATTAAAAAAAAATTAATAATCAAAGGTGATGTTTCCTTATTTGTTAACTTTTCAATTATTTTAGCATGACTTTGTTTATTGCACTTAACTTTTTGCCTCAAGCTGTATGAAAGTTCCAGCATAGAGATTCTTAATATTATTGACTTCTTGTATGAACTATTTCCCCCAAAAACAGACACCTATAAACCATTTAAGGTTTAAAATAAATCACTTCATAACTTATAAGTCACCAATTCAATGCAACTACATGTTGATGTCTCATTTTCTACAAACATTTTAAAAGCATGAAAATTTGAACAAACTGCTTTTAAATACTGACATGTACCACATTGAAAATAAGAACTATTTTTCTAATTTTTTTTCAACTTTATTTCATCTGGAAGTTCCAGACTGGAACAAATACATTGTACATGTTGCAGGATCTGTTTACCCTTCCTGAGCACCTGAGATCACCCCTGGTTTTGGTGGGGTTTGTGTTGCTCAGTCCTTAGTTTTCTATGTTGTGGTTTGTGTACTGTTGTTCGTCTTTTTGTCACTTTTTGTTATTTGCCATGGCTTTGTCAGTTTGTTTTCGACTTATGAATTTGAATGTCCCTTTGGTATCTTTTGCCTCTCTCTAAATTAATAATAAAATCTTCCTTTTATATTACCTTTTATAACACACATTCATGAACTCCCTTTTCATTCTTAAATAAAGCATGCATGAAACTAAACAAAACTCTGGAGAATAGGGTGAGTGGTGTACTGAAATTTTGAAGTCTCTAAACAACTCACTCTATTCTCTATATTCCAACCTACTGATTTTGGAACTCTAAATGAAGCCTAGCAATATCGTGAAAACGATAATGCTTATACAACATAGCATTTGACGCACTCAGAGAACAAAAATCTCCTTTGCGTTTTTTCAACACATTGCCCATAACACTAACATTTGTTTAACATCACAATATCATGACATCACCAATGACGTCCTTGAAGACATTACACAATCAGTTCACGTTCAAGATGTCAGGACGTGATTACCTTTGTTATACATGCCAGGTTAGTTACAAGCACAAGAGCAGCCTCAGTAGGCATATGAATCTACACAGCCTACAAACATATGATTGCTAAATATGCAACGTTAAATTTAGATCAGACAGTCTCCTTAATCATAAAAGGCAGATTCACGAAGCTGGTAAAAGTAAAATGTTGATATCACTTGACGACATAAGCACAAATGCCAAAAAACAAGGAATTAATTGAATTTGCAATAATTTTGAATTCTGGAAAATTGTTAAGAAATGTATGATGAAAACTAACCCAACTAAATAGGGTTAGCCATGAGTGCATGGATAAGGGGGTTAGTTAATTCATACTGAAATATCAGTGGAAGTAAAATTAACATTAGCCATGCGCACATGGCTAACCCTATTTAGCTGGGTTAGTTTTCATCATACTTTTCTTATCAATTTTCCAGAAATCAAAATTATTCCAAATTCAAATAATTCCTTGTTAAAAGTATGACTTCCAAAAAAAAAAAATCGTTGTAGATGAGCAAGTAGCATTGTGCTCGGGGATTAACAAAACCAATTTCCCAACATCAGAGATCAACGAGTCCCTGATAGTCCCAACACCGCAACCCAAGATAGGACAATCAAACCTTGTATATCAACCCAGTACGGTCAAAGTTACTGATCAAGAAAATTCAGACTTCATTGATAAATTCCTGCAGCCGGTTGTACGAACGTGTCATTTGTCTAATGAGTCATTAAGTCTTCATTAGCCTAATGCATCATAAAGGCTTAATGAAGACTTACTGACCCATTAGGCTATAAAGCCACGTTCGTACAACCGGCTGCTGGAGGATATACAAGCAACCGAACAAACTTCCAAAGTTGGAGATTTCCCTCTGTGGAAGATTATCAGGAGGGATATTTGCCATAGAACCTGCATCTGAAGGTTTTTCATAATCTTTTAACTTACTTTTGGTTGTTGAATTATTGATTGTGTAAGAAAAAAAACAGTCAACATTTAAAATAAAAAAAGCAACCCATTTCTTTTATTGAAATAATGAAGAAAGAGATAGAAATATCTGTTTATTTTTATACATGAGGCCAGGTATGGAATTTTCATTAATTTTTCTCAGGAACTACAAATCAGAGCCTCCTGAGTTTTGGTATCATGCTTCATGTGAGCATGCTGTACCCTGGGATACATTTTAACATCCATTGATCATCAACTTCCTGTTTAACAAATACTTATAATAGGGATATCACTTGTGGCCTTAGACCACAATAAACTCCCTTGTTCGTGGTCTATGAATATAGCAGTTCCCAAGTATTATATGTGGTGTTTCATCCTGATTATTCTTGCAACGGTTTTCTTTGTTAAGTAGAATATTTAAGTGGTCCTACAAAGATATTGAAATAAGTGAAACATGTGAAAAAATTGATTGTTGAAAGTGAAAGTAGGGTATAAATTAGCTGTCAGCATTTATTTAAGACTGAAATCCTTCCCTTTTGATGTTCACAGTGCTCTCAAGAGAAAGCAGCAATAGATTTTGCTGAGAGATGTATATTTTATTAGAATATTTTAATAGAATAATACTGTTCAGTAAGCAGGTGAATTTATTTCATATTTGATGCTCTGTCAAAACAATTGTTGCCTGAAGCATCCATCTTGTTTAAATTATCTGGAGGCTCTTACCATTATTTGAAGAGTTTCAGTATTTCATACATGAAATATTATACAGTTATTCTGGGCGTTGCACATAGTCATAGCTTCTTGTATTTGCACATAATCATAGCTTCTTGTACTTGCACATAGTCATAGCTTCTTGTACTGTTTCTGACATTTCTGTATAAACATTTCTATAAAGTACAGCCACATACTAGTATAATAGGGT